TCCATCATGCCACCCTGGACACTCTGGAAGCAAGACCAAGTAATTGCTGTCAGTGCTTAATCAAGATCAGATTCTTGAATCTAATCAGTCTCAAAATCTCCCAACCAAAACAGATGCACTTCCTGAGGCATAAAGTAGTGCCTGCACAAGAGGTGTATCCCGGGTACATCTCAGGTTTTTTAAGGGGATTGCTGCCTGCACCACAAGACAGCAAGGTCAATAACAGGTCTCCTCAGTTATGATGGGAATCCTGTGTGTGCTGAACACTTGGGATGCTGATATCTTCCAGATAAAAAATAAATGTGCATAATATTATTTTTTTAAAGGAGCATTAGTTTCAGAAGAAAATAGGATCAATCGAGCTCACAGGCTTCACTTTGAAACTATCATTGTTCACAACCACCCAGTGATACCGGCCATGAAAGCCTTTGACAATACATATTATTGCTTTATTAAAGTATAATTAATCATTACTTTCATAGTAATACTAATTTAATATTTTAAACAAATTATGTATCTCTACCAACACAAATTATATTATGAAAGTATACACTGTTTTTTTGCTTATAAATGAAATAGGCCGATAGTGGTATCAACAAATTTAAATATACATCACATTGCTTGTTGTGATATATATATATAATCCAAGAGTTTTACAGAATTTTTTCATATTTTTTGTACATCAGAATGTTTTGTTCACCAAATAAAGGAACCTGGCATTTACGGCAGGTTTCTATGAATAGGATTCTGTTCCTGCTGATAGTTGAAGGACATTTACACATACACACACCCCATGCATAGTCCTCCCAACAGATTGTGGAAGAGCAGCTTAGGATCCTAGAGAATATGTTTATGGGGTGACATGATTTTAGGTAAGCTCACCATTACAAAACTTAACTTCAATCTCTCCATCTATCTTTCAGTAATATTTAAAATGTGGTAAAGTAGGTTAGTAACAGGTGGAATATTAGTTTTCTGAGGCTAAGGAAGAAGAAACACAGTAGGACAGATGACCAAATGCAAGAGTATTATTGTTGTTGTGTGCCTTAAATCATTTCTGAATTATGCTGAACCTATCACAGGGTTTTCTGGGGTTGAGAATGTGTGATTCGCCCAAGGTCTCCCAGTGGGTTCCCACAGCCAAGCAGGGAATCAAACCCTGGTCTTCAGAGTCATATGTATCCATCTGTGTTAAGATTTATGACAGTCTGTATGATCAAACTGCAGCAAAGCTCAAAGGCAACAACAATCTATCCATAAAATAGGTGGAGGAGAAAGAATAAGGTCATAAACACATCTAGTTGGGCTTTTCCATTGCTTTCCATTTCTGGCAAAAGAACTAGATGCTACTGAAAATAATTAGAGGACATGGAAATCCAAACCCTCAAAGTTTAAAAGAAAATATTAAGCTATAATATGTTCTGGCAATGTAAGAAGATGAACTATCTCTCTCAATAATCATGAAGTATGGAAATACGGGCCCAGAATATTCAACTAGAAGATTAAAATCAGGATTCCTCTACTTAATACTTCTGTTCTAGTAAAATATGGTTATAATACAAATAAACACTTAGCTATTTTTTATCTTCTAAAACTTATACTTTAAAACTTAAAATGTTAATACTAAGAAATCAGTGTTTACTTTTAGGCCTTTTGGACAGCCCTCAAACTAGGACACATAGCATTTAAGCCAGTGTCAGATCACTGAATCTTCTCACAACTTACTGCCAGATAAAGATTAAAGTTCCCTATCCTTCTGACTCTGCCTCAATGCTATTCAGTCAGCTTCTAAACAGAGAAATGACTAATTGATCAGGCAATTTCTGATTCTGTCTGATTAAAAAAGAAAAATGTTAACACAGGGAAGACAATACTTATACTTAAATGTTACCATCATCCAATCATAAACTCACAATTTCAATAACAGGAAAAAGGCGACAGTTATCTAAGAGATGCCACAGCTTGACAACCTAGGTTCAATTCTTAGTATTTCAGGCTAACCAAAATCACAAAGGTAGAATTGGTACACTGTGTAAAGTCTGCTACCACAAAGAAGTAGCCATTCCAGACTGGATAACATAATATAAACAAGTTAAATTTGTAGAATTCGCAGCTGTAACTTTTCTTTTAAAAAAAGAAAAGAACTACTACATAACAAAAAGCACCTCATATCTGGGATAATCCATCACCCCCTTCCTGTGTTCTCAGTCTCCTCCCCCCATTCAGCTTTTAATTGAGCAACTGCTCTAAATAGGACTAAAAGGGAGGGGGGGTTAGTAAACCATTGATACCGAAAGATAACAATGTTTCCTACCATGTTTCTAGGATAGTGCAGAGTAGGGCCTGGTATTAGTTAGGTCTGTGTTTAATGGTAATTCTCTAGTCACCAAAAACTACATTTATCTGCAATATTCCAATCCACACAGGTGCTGGTTAGCTGAGAGTCTACTCTATCAGTCTACCCTTTATTCTGGCCACAATTCAACTCTAAGTCTGGGAGTTACTACTTTCTCAACAAGTAGGAGGGAATTGAATTTATGCCTGGAATAAATGGGAAGAAGACACTATCCATGGGCAAGAGAGTAAACAGTAGAACAATTACTCTTTTGCCTTGAATAGTTATGGGGCAGGCATGCAACTTCCTGCCCAGTATGGGAAATTCAAGATGCAATGGAGGGACAACAGTGCCACCTAGTATTTTAATTTTACTCTGTTCAAACTTAGAAGAAGGTTCATAGTTCAAAGGACAACTTCCTTTTAAATAAGGCACACATACACACACACACCAGAAGCTATGTTAAAGGGGGGTGGGGTGGAGGTGCCTTGGGGGCAACACAACCCCTCAGGTCTACTTCAGCCCCTGCAGTCAGATCTTACATTTCACTAGTTCCTCTTTTTGTTATAAAAGTGAGTAACAGTAAAAAAACAACAACAACACAGCAATAAACTGAAGTTTTCCCCTTGAAACTTGAAAGAATCCAGTGTACCCTTTATTTTGGCCACTATTCAACTGCAAGTCTAGGAGTTACTACTTTTCTACCAACTAGGACGACGATTTGTGCCCGAAATGAATGGGAGAAGATGTCATCCATGGGCAAGGCTTGAGTGAATAGCAGAACAATTACTCTTTTGACTTGACTGGTTACTGGGCTGTTGTGCGACTTCCTGCCCAGAACGGGAAATTCAAGATGCAATGGAGGGACAACAGTGCCACCTAGTATTTCAGTTTTACTCTGTTCAAACTCAGGGGAAGAAGGTTCATAGTTCACTTCAAAATATAACCTCCTTCTAAATAGGTGAAAGGGACACATGCTAATATACAAGGAGTTATTCTAAGGGGAGGGAGGAGGAGAGGATATGAAGGCAAAACAACCTTGCAGGCCACCTCTGGCCCCTCAAGCCAGATCTTACATTCCTCACAACATTGTTGTTGTTGCTGTTGTTAAAACAAAGGTTAAGATCTTCTGGGGAGGCCCTGCTCTCAGTAAAACCTGCTTCGCAAGTGCGGTTGGTGAGGACGAGAGACAGGGCCTTCTCAGTGGTGGCTCCTTGGCTCTGGAACTCTCTCCCCAGTGAGATTAGATCAGTGCCCTCCTTCCTGGCCTTTAGAAAGAGAACAAAGATATAGTTATGGAGCCAAACTTTTGGCTAATAAAGTAACGCAGTACTAGAAATAAATATGGAATATGTGCAATCGATGTCTGGAATGGCCCTGGTCTAAGAGTTTGGATCATGTGATTTTAATGTTCATATTAGGTGGTTTGAATGTTTATGTCCTCATGCCTAAATTTTGTTTTATCTTATGTTAAATTGTCTTATTGATTTTAATGCAGTTTTATTTATTCATTTATTATTTACAATATTTATGTATCGCTTTTCTCACCCCTGGGAAGACTCAAAGCCGTTTACAAAACCTAATGGCAAAATTCAATGCCTTACATCAGGCATCCTCAAACTGTGGCCCTCCAGCTGTTTGGGCCTTCAACTCCCAGAATTTCTGACAACTGAACCAGGTCATTAGGCTACTGGGAGATGGAGGGGCCTAAACATCTGAATGGCCGCAGTTTGAGGCTGCCTGCCTTACATACATCAACCAAATCATAAATCAAACAGCATACAACTAAGCATAAAATACAATAGGGCTAATTCCCCATAAGATAATAGGACATTTAAACCTGAAGTATAAAAATTACAGACACCTAATAAAAACACTAAAATCACATGATCCAAACTCATAGACTGGGCCATTCCAGATGTCGATTACACATATTCCAATTTACTTCTTGTTTGGTTTTGTTTAGATTTATTATTTGGCTTCTTATGTATGTGAGGGTGAATTTTGCCACTATTTGTTGTAAACCGCTTCAAGTTCTCTCCTGGGGTGAGAAAAGCGGTATATATACTAGTAATAATAATTCAATATTATAATTATAATTATATATTTACATTACATGTAATATTACTAATAATATTACAATATAATGGTATAGTACAATATAGTAATATCTAATACTGATATTGAACTATGCTAATAATATAATATATTGTATGAAAATATATATTGTAAGCCGGTCTGAGTCCCCTTCGGGGTGAGAGGGGCGGCATATAAATGCCGTAAATAATAAATAAATAAATAAATATAGAGAGAGTAAACAAATAAACAATAAACAAATAACAACAAAAACAACACCACGTTAAGCTGGAGGAGCCAAGATATCGCCTTGGCACTTGAAAGAAATCAGTTGACACTCTTATTTTGTCCTCAACTCAACTGGAAGTCTAAGGAGTGGGGACTTTGCCTACCAAGGAGAGAGAGGGAGGCATGATGCCTGAATGGGAGAAGGGAAGGCGGTGGGGGAGCAGTGCCTTGCCTGGCTGCTTCCTGCCCAGGGTGGAAGAGAAGGAAAGAGGCCGGGAGGCGCTCAAACTCAGGGGAGAGTTCACTTGGAAGTAGAACTTCCTTTTAAATGGTCGAGAGGGGCCTGCTGCTCCTTACTCACCGCGATGAGGGCGCTGCTGTTGCTGCTGCTCCGGCCCCCGTGCTGCTGCTGCTGCTGCTGCTGCTGGGCCTGCTCCCCGCCCGCGGCGTCGGCGTCCAGCCCGTTGGCGGAGGAGGAGGGGGCGGCGTGGCCCGGGGCCTGCGCGGCGGGGGCGGTGGGCGCCGAGGGGGCTGCTCCGGCGGAGGCCGCGGCTGGTGGGGCCGGGGCCTGGGCCTGAGGGGGCGGCGGGGGCTGGCGGTGCTTCCCGGCGCGCTTGGCCTTGGCCTGGAGGCAGCGCTGGTGGAGGGCGAAGGTCTGCTGGCGCTCCAGCTCCAGGCGCTCCGGGGAGACGGCCTGGTAGCGGGACTCGCAGGCGCTGTGGTGCCGCCGGCAGAGCTCGATCCGCCTGCGGAGGCGCTCCATCACCGCGCTGTGCCGCGGCACCGCGAACTCCGCCATCGGGGAAGGGGCCAGGACCATAGGAGGCGAGGCGAGAAGACGGAGACGAGGGAGAGGGTCTCACCAAGCCGGCGGGGGCGGCGGCGCCATGGCCGAGCACCGGCCTGCCCTTGGTCCCAACTTCAGCGCCGCCTCCGTCTCCTCCGCTAGGCCGCACCAGGCCCCGCTCCCTGCCTCAGGCCCAAAGGCGCCCCGGCCTCCCCAGACCCATTGTTATCCTCGCCTCGGCCGCCGCCATCTTGGAATGGCTTTGCCCCCTTTGCCTCCCTTCCCCCAGCTCCGAGGGGGCGGGCTTCCCGACGCGGCGGCGGCGTCACGACCCGCGAGCTCACTGGCTGCTTCGCTTTGACTGGCATTCGGGCCAGCCAATAGTGCAGGAGGAGGACGGGATGGGGAAGGAGGGAACTTTTTTTCACCCGAACTTTTCCGTCTCCCCCTCCCCCCACCTTTCCGGAAGAAGATAAGGGGCGGGGCTTCATGATTGACCCCGCCCAATCAAATGGAAGCTGGAAGCTAGAATCATAGAATGCTAGAGTTGGGAGAGACTTAATGGGCCATCCAGTCTAACCCCGTCAAGAAGCAGGAAAATCGCATTCAAAGCCCCCCCCGCCCCCTACAGATGCCCACCCAGCATTATTTCTCAACCTGTGGGTCCCCTCAGCTTACAACTTACAGAAATCCCAGCCATTTACCTGCTGTGAGAGTTCAAGGCCAAAACATCTGGAGACCCACTGGTTTAAAAGCCTCCAAATGAGCCCCCACCATACTCTGGGGCAGAGAGTTCCACTGCTGAACAGCTCTCATCGTTAGGAAGTTCTTATATTTGTATGCTGTTCCTCTGAATGGGAAAAGGAAAGCTGGGAGAGGCGACTTCATAGAGTACAAAAAGGACAGAGCTCCCCTCAGGACAGCCAGAAGTCAAATCAGATTGTCCTTTTAAAAAGATTACTAGAGAAACAGTACTTACAAGACACCCCCCCCCCCTTCAGACTTCAATTAATGACCTTTTCAAGCTTTTGCATTCGTGCATCTTCTAACCATTACAATATACCTCACAGCAAAAGATATACAAAGCAAACTGGAGAACAAGGTTTTATCAATTGAATGGAAATAAATAAATTGAAATAAATAAATTTCCCGACAGCTTGTAGAACTGCATTTCCCATCATGTCCATAATTACCAATACTAACAGACTGAATAAGACACATTTTGAAGAGCAAGACAATTTTTTAAAATAATTCAGGTGACTTAGACCTCTAAAAGCTCATTATATGTTTACTTGAACTATATTTTTTTAAATACCGATTAATTCAATTTAGTTAACGCTGAAGTTATTATCTCAGCTGATTGTGTAAACTAAGCAGGTTAAGCTCTGAACAGTACTTGATGGGAAACAGTCAATGAGTGCCAGATTTTAGAGGAAGGAAATGGCAAACCACCATCTGAATATTCCTTGCCTAACAGAGATGACTTGAAGGAATCGGCACACACGGAAATCTACAAATGAATCAAGATGGAATCTTTTGTTTTAAAACATTAAGCTAGATGTATTTTCAGTACATCTCAAACGGAAAGCTAGACCAACATGCTTTTTGCATGATATTTAGTTCTTTCAGAACCATTTGGTCTCTTATTCATGCCCTAATACTAAACTCCAAAGATTAAGAACATTATAGTAAACTAGACAATAGAAAATAGTGGTTTATGTTTCTTTATTAATCAGAGTATGCTTACATTTGTTCATAACTTAACCAATATATTTATATGCATACTGCATCTTCAGATTTATCATTTTTATAACAGTCAGGACTTATGAGAAAATCACAGTCTTTTTTCCAACACTTTAAGGGGGGTTGCATCTGAAACTTGTATGGAGGCAATACTGGCATTAGAAGACTATAGCTGAAGAGAAGGCAGAAGGGTGCCAAGAAAAAGCACCATATTTACTGCCACAAATCAAGTGGAGCTAAGCTTTCAAGACCCAGGGTACTTTTTCCTCATTAATGGTTGATTGTATACGATTCCCCTGTCATCTGCAACATCCACATATGAAACTCAGTGCATTTTACATCAGCATTTTAAACATGTGCAACTTTGCAGTGTTATTTTCAGAAAGACCAGTTATTCATCAAAGAACGTTATCTTGATGAAAAAGTGTCTACTTTTACCCAACACACTAACACCAATGGATTTGAAGCTGCTGTGATGGTCTTTATTTTCTGAACAAAATGAAAATCAAGTAAGTAGTCTAACATCCCATTCACCTTGCTAATCCCTTCTGTGCAATAATACATTTTCTATATGGTCTTAATATATGGAATTATTTTCCTGCTATCAGTTCAACTATCAGCACAAAATATTTCATACATCCAAATATACTTTCTTCAAACTTAAAAAAATAACCATCCTTCAAGTCACAGCACTTCAATTATTTGGAAACTCAACAACTTCATAATACATGAACTCTTGTTTAACTTCAAGATAGCAGATATATTTTCCTGGTGTAGAATATTCTGTAATATGGATTCACCAAGACACACTGGGATCAAGATTTTTGAAATACATTTCAAGCCATAAACTTTAAAAACAAAAGTTATTGTAGTGCCTTTGCAAATTTTGCTGACATAAAAAAGCCAAAACATGCAAACAGCAGAGCATTCTGGAGAAACCCCTGTGAATATCAAACGTATTACACCTTTAGCTTTAAATTAAGCATTGCCTCCTGACATTATCTAAAAAGAAGTTCATTTCAGCAACTATTTTGGAAAGAAAGGAATATGTGTTCTATGGAAAAATAAAGGAATAAAACAGCTTCTTCAAAAGACAGCATTAACTCAAGCATTAAAATTAGTTCTAACTCCGAGTTGTTAAATACCCAATGCAAGTGCAGAAAAAAATGGATGCGAGGCAGCTATGAACAGTATTTTTATCCAGTGCCTGAACAACTAAAAAGAGCAAATGATTCAAGCACAGTCTGCAAGTTCTGTAGCTTCAAATGCGGCAGCATGTGGAAAAATCAAGGAACTAGAAAATGTTACAAGATGCAACAATCTGGCTTTTAAAAGCAAAATAGTCCTTAAGTAGATTTTAAAGCTTCATTTAAAAACAAACTATGCACTGACTAAATCAAGAAGCTCCATAGCACATTTATGATTACATGTTTGGACACGACAGTCATATTTTGCAGGCAGCAAAATTCTCAGTTTGGTTTCTCTGATAAACTTGGAAGTGTTGTATTCAGTGCACTTACAACAGGTTTGCCCCTATGAGCAAACAGTAGCCTACTGTCGATGAAGCATTTTTCTTCTAATATCTCCTATCTCTCACCACCAGAACTGAGTTTCATCTTTAGAGATATTTAAGATGATCATCTGCAATCCATTCAAAGTGGGATTCTGAATGGTTAGATACTCAAATGCAATACACTTTTAAGAATTTATTTAGCTGGAACTGGAAATCCCTACATTCACAATGGTTTGATACATGAATAGCAGTATGTTTCATAGACCCAATGAGTTTTCACATGCTCCTTCCTCAGCTTCAAATACTGATATTTCCATTCGATGTAAGTCTATTTGGATTGCCTGATCACTGTGAATGAATGTACATACAACAGGCACAATTAGAAAATTAGCAACACTGTCCATTCCACAGTGTTTAGACCCCAGAAATAAGTAATTCTAGGTTTGCAGGGTTTTGTTTTTTTTTTAAAAAAAAGCACACTATAGACTGAACAGTGAGTTGAACATATGTAGTTTACAGCAACTAAGCTGCATTCTGAAGTAATTGCACAGCAACAGATAGAAAGAGGAAGGAGCTTTTAAAACCACAGGGGAAATTGTAAAAAGAAAGAAGACAAACCTCATACTGAAGACAATTTAAGGCCTAAAGCAAGAAGACGGTCCAACCTTAATCTTTGTACCCTAAACCAAAATCTGCTCCCAAAGTTAGGCTGATTATGAATACTGTTTAACCTGGGCAGTGCCCATGGCCAACATATAGATTTCATGGCCTCATTGTGGTTTTTCCACCAACAAGAAAGAAGGACTTGAAAAAAATTCTCTTAAAGGATTTTAACTTCTGCTTTCATTGAATGAACTGGAAACATGAAGGTAATGGCATTGACTCATTTACTTTAACATGATCAAACTAAGGGAAATAAATGTTCAATAAAAATGTCCATGTTTACAAAAAAATATATAAAATTGTATATGTAGTATTTTTCTAAGGGTTGGTGTTCATTTCCATTGACAGATTAATACATTAATTTAAGCCAAGGTTTTGAGACTGGCAATTCTATCATTCTATTTAAAAACAAAGAAAAATGTTAGTTCTTGTAACATTCCAGAAATTTATAGCTGGGTTGTGTTAAATGCATTCTTTTTCTACAGGATTTTTCTACTTAAAAACACAATGCAAGTATTTGACCGCTAAACACCCATTTACACTGGAGAGCATTTGACAGGAACCTGTGGATGGTGAATCTTGAGGTTTTTTGAGTTTCAGCAAAAAGTATCCAAGGTCCTCTCCCAAAACCATGTTGGGGAAAATGAATCAGATCAAGTTCTTAAGATATTTCAATCTTTTCTTGGTTTTCTGTTTCTGGGTGATCTATTCATAATTTCTTCCTCCTACAAAGATAAAAAGGCACAGTCTTTATATAAATATAAAAACGGTAATGAGAGAGCTTCTTGGAAATATTTTAATCTAAAAAGAATTATATGCATTTGTATGAGATACTTTGCTTTTTTCCGATTGTGATAGTCCAGCGAAAGGCATGATGGTTAGCCAAGTGAAAGGTGTAATAGTTGCTTAAGGCAAGCTACTTGCCTAAAGTGATTTCTTGGTTATTTTGAATTTTTAATGGAACTTTTTGATGTTTTTTTTATTCTTTATTTTCAGCAATTGATTTTAGCATATTCTGTTAATATAAATTGCTTTGGATTTAAAATTAAATGCATTAGAATAATGTTCCTGAACAAGTGCTTCTTAAAACTCAATGGCTGCTTCATACGCTGAATTTGTTCTCCCATGTGCCTGTGCAAGTCATAAAAAGCAGCTCTGAAGTTTAAACTACGATGGCAAACAGAAAAATCAGTAGACAGCCCAGACTTATTTTTCCACTGTTGTTACAAAATTGTGTGCACTAGCTTTAAAAAAGGTATATGGGGGGTGGGAAGTGCCAGATGTTTTGCTTTTTATTTGAATTTCCGCATTCATGTACTGATTTCCTTTTAGTCTTTTACTTTATAAATGTCCCAAACTGCTAATTCCATGCTTTATCCATGTGGAAGTGGCAAAGTCCTTCTGATAGTTCACGTTGTCCTTGGCAGTGCTCTGTGATTAGGAAGCAGTGCTCAAAACAGCTAGGTCTGCAGATCCATTTTGCTTCATTCTGACAATTTCTTGAAACACTGGAGGTATGGATTGTAGGAATGGCCAGAATAGAATAACATGCAATTACAGGAGGGCAGGATAGGTGGCCAGAAATAATATTTTTCCTCACAAATTCTTGTGCAGACATGGTGTTTAAATCCAATGTTGCACTAGCTAGTTCAATACATATATTTTGTCTTATTCCCTCCCTTCCATGACTCTCTGCACTTCTTGAAAATGTGGTAAGGTTCCCTGATTTTTATGGCATGAGGAAATGAGCTATTCTTGTGGCATAAAACTACTTCCATCAATGAAACAAGTATGGCTGATCATGGCCAGTGAACCTACAGCTGTTGTGAGCAGTTTACAAAAATGCACACTAGCTCATAACAATATGACTTAAAAGTACCTTATGGGGACATTGGTCTCAGAGTTCATACCATAGGCTTTGGTGTACAAATGATCATATGAACAGGAAAAACTGAGGTTTAAGAAACACTCAAATGCTGATACTCCAATAAAAATAATTTTACAATTTCTAATCTTACTTTTCCACCAAAGCAAAACTTTGGAATTAATCACTTACCTTTCTATCAGATTTACTATCACCCTCTTCTTCTCCTCCTCCTTCTTCCTCCTCCTCCTCTTCCTCCTCCTCATCTTGACTAGCAGCTTCTGCCTCACCATCACTCCTTTGCTTCTCTTCTAAAATAAATATATAAAGCTGTTTTCAAAAGTGCTACTTGTGTTTTCTGGAAACGAACAATGACTTTCCTATTCATCACTGGAACTGGCATCTATTTTTAAAATACAAAAACAGTCTTATGGAAAGATTCAAAGATTTCAGAAACACTGAATTATCATCTATTTTGCATACCTGGCTTTTCCTCATTGGCTTCTTCCTCTTCATCCTCTGCTTCTCCCTTATCTTTTTCCTCTACCTTTTCCTCCTCATTAACATCTGGCTGAGGTGCATCTGTCTTTTTGTACTCCGCAGCACTTGGTTGCTTCTGAAACAGTTGTCAGAGATATTCCACAATTAGGTTTCTCAGAGAATGTTCAGTTATTCATGTTGTAGTTTTATTATTTCTGCCTTTCAATATGAATCCTCCCCAAAGTGTATTTTTCCCCTTTTAAAAGATGAAATACCATACAGATAATTACAACAATGTGTTTTAAGGAACAATAGCAAAGATTTCCCATTCTGATCCCATCCAACATGCTATTCACAGGGTACACACCTTTCCAGAACAGCAGAAAAGGATGATGAGAAACACAGGCAGTGCCACAGTCAAGATGTAGACGACCCAAAGCCAGGGACGTTCTTCAGCCGCTGCCATCATCTGACCCACAACACCAGGCTGGAAGGCAAGTTAGGCTTTCAAATTGCATGCCCTCAACGGTCATGAGAGGCAACATGGCAACCAAAGATACCTAAGGGCCATCCCAAATATTTCTCTAATTATTAGCAACCTCATCACACTAAAACATCTATACAATTTAAATTTAGTTGCTGCCTCCTGCAGAACTCTAGGGTTTGCAACTTGGGGGGGGGGGGGGTAAACTTCTCAGCCAAAAAGGTCCTGCACCTCACTAAACTACAAACCCCAGAATTCTGCAGAAGGAAACACTATGACTGGTTGAATCTGAAGATACACCACTTACAGAGGGTTAATTGTACAGAAAAGCCAGTCATTTAGAAGAATGATAAAATCAGAACTATGCACAATCTTTTATGTCTTGAATGCAAAAAAACTAAACTATGCCTTGTTTTTTCTGCTGAAAAACACCTTACCTCAGCAGCACCATCTGCTGCCTTCTTTAGACCCCATCCATCGTTACCCCAGTCATCAGCTACGGCCCGGTCTGTACAGACGATGAAGTTATCAAATAATATATCCGAAGTCATAGACCATAACTCAAGCCCTAGAGCACTGAAGGGGGTCATTTTGAAAGGTTCCAGGTCTTCAAAGAAGTCTGGATTTGGAATCTTTCTTGGCTTCCAGATACCCTGAAAAATTTGCAGATACCACACTGTCAGTTTAAGCAAATTTATTTTTTCATTGACTCTTCAGACCCTAGTGAATGGATTAGAAACCCCGAAGAAGTTTTAATTTGATTCTTAGCTATGCCATTGTGATGATTATTACTGCATGTCTTGAAATTATTTTCCACTTTTGGCAATTGAAGTTCTATTTCTCACACATCTGCAGCCACTTTCTACCCATGTCAAACATCACATGATTATATACATGCAAAAGGTCAAAGATTCAACCCCTTACATCTCCAATATCAGGGCTGTATAAGAATTCTGATGCATTCAAGATGTAATATGAGAACAATTGTTTAATCAGAGAATGTTTGAAACTGCAAATTCAGATATTGGCAATAAAACTGTCACTCATTCTCAGGAAACACATGAACACAGGAGTGTTTAAGCAACATAAACTTTTGTATGGCATGGCACAGCATGCAAGTTCTTTTTGAGATCATGCTAATTTGTGATACAGCAAGAAAAAAATTGTAGGAGTTACAATTTGACTATGAAGTTCCAATTCATCAATTGCTTGATTTATTTTAAACATTTAGTGTTAACTGTAAGAGTGGAGGTCTCATGATTTCAGTTTTCTTCATTTGTATCTAACACAGAGACAATGATTTCCTGGCTCTCAAAACACTCAGCCTTTCTGACCTGAGTCCATAAACTTGAGGTATCTGTATACTTATTTTGCAAACATCTAACTGCTAACTGAACAGTCCTAATTGTGATCTACACACTTTCCATTTGATTCCACTGTTGACATAATTGCCCCCCCCCCCCACCCCCGGTCATGTTTTTATACATCTGGTACTATACTTTACAACAGAAACAGTGCCTCATGCATTTGAAAAGCTATGAACTCCAGTCCACAAAATGCCTGATTTTTCCAAAGAAAGGGAGTTTCCTAATTTCAAGTCTGCCTAATTTCATTTACTGAGACAATACATTTACCTCTTCCCAAAAGCACGACCCAAAGTAAATCATTACTTTTTAAGTTATGCCATACACTAACACTACAATATACCTCATTTAAACATAGGTAGCTGACAATTTTTTTTTGTTCTTGTAATGTGCATTCTACTGTTTTGTTCTTGACTTTTAATAACTCTATTAAGGTGCTTTTTCTGAGCAAGGTATTCAAAGAGGTCGAGAGAGTGGGACTTGCCCAAAGTCACCTAGTGCTTTTCATTTTTAATAGTCATAATCCGAGTCTCAAGTCACTACTTCATATTGCCTCTACTTAAACTGAGAGTACAGGAAAGTACCTTTACATGAGCCTAGAGGTATAAATTGTGAGCAAGATCATTTACCTGATAATTAGGATTATCAATCATGGGAGGCTTCCATTTGCCTTTATAGTTGGGATTGTCAATTGTCGGCCTTTGCCAGGCACCACAGCCAGGGGCTGATTCACATTTTGGATTCGCAATCTGAGGTGCCTCCCATTCTCCATCCATATCTTCGTCCCTGAAACAAACCCTCTGGTTTAGGATGCCATACACTTGCTTTCAGAAAAGGAGGTTTTTTGAAACTTGTATATGTTTTTGAACAGGATTGGATTTTGTTTTGTTTTAGGAGAGATTTCTTAAAAGCCTCCAAAAGCAGAAAAATAAAACTGAGGAGAAAGATGAGTTTCCAATGAAGGAGAGCATCCTAGGGTTCAGAGACCACACTACTCCTGCCTCCCCAATCCAGGGGTATGCAGGTGTTTTCTCAGAACACCTGAGAAATTTAGATCCAATTTAGATACTTGGATCCAAGTATGATTAATTATATCTGGATTAGATCCAACTTATAATGCACTGCCTAAAGAAACACTTTTTTCTCTATTGAATTTTATCACCAACTTTGTTGGAAGAACAAAATCTAGTATTTAAGACAAAAGAGAACAATCAGTACCCATTCACAACCACCACAGGTAAATTATTAACTTCTAGAAGGCTATCTTGCTCCCCATTTTCTTTTTTTAAAAACCTTTGTAAAACATAATAATATAAATAGATCACTGACATTATAGTGGAACTACCAGAGTTGGAAAAATTAATTTAGGGAATTAAATCTCTTAAAATGACGTAAGGAATGTTGGCAAACGTGAAAAAAAAAAAGCCTCTAACTTTTCCAAGGACTTGTTCTATGTTTTTTTTAACAATCATACTGGATGGAAAATAAAACGACTCTATGAAACTTTTCCAAGCCATAGCAAACCAAGGTTTGGTTTTAAAAGTAAAAAGTAGTCCCTGCAGAAATGAGAGCAGAAATGCAATATGTAATCGCAGCATCAGACTACTTTTCACAACTGGATATCAAATTCAGAATGCTGAACAAACTTAACACACAAGGTACAACAATAAAGAATGCTTACTTAAAAAATATACTGAAAGTTAACCAGCATAGTTAAAGATATATTTTAAGACTGAGAACAATGTAACATGGAACCATAATTAATTTACCAATCCTCTGGTTTCTCTGCATCAGGGTCAGGAACATACTCTGGCTCGTCATCTAACCAACCTTCTGGTTTCACAGCATCCTCATCAGGGATCTTAGCGGGAGCATCCTCATCCCTACAAAATGCCAAAAACAGACATCATTTTGAAAATTTTCAAGGAGTATGTTCTGCTCCTGTGTCAGATTCACATGCTGGTATCATTAGCTGATTTCAGTTTCACCGCTTGCTTTGAGTGCAATTCAAAATATTCCCTATGAAGGTGCTTGGGAGTCGAAACCAGAACACATTTCTAACTGTTTCCACCTATATAACCATGTGGAACCTCTGCACTCAACTAGAAGGACCTTCCTTCATGTCTCTTGCAAATGCTAATGACAATAGATGAGCTTTGCCTCCTTCTCCAGTGACTTTATATGATCAAGGTTTTTATTTAGTAAAGTCGTGGCTTTGTGGCATCCCTTTGATACTTTTCCATTTCTCGGTTACAGTGCTTTGTTCTGACATGTTCAGCTTTAGTTATTCTGCTAATCTTATTTCAAACTGTCTTTTACTGAAACTGTTGTAAATACTTTTAAGAAACTGGAATTGGGGGCCATTTGGTCAGAATACTATGGGTTTCTGTTGGCGGAAGAGTGATTACTGCTTCTTCCAAGGGCCCCCAACCTTCACCAGCTACTTACCAGTCATCAGGCTTTACAGCATCTGGATCTGCAATCTTTGCTCTCTCATCCCAGTCCTCTGGTTTCTGGTCATTTGGGTCTTCTATTTCACGTGGAGGATTCACAGCAGGGGTCATATCAGACAGCAGGTTCCCACTATTTACAACTGTTTGATCAACTAGAATTTCAAAGCTGTTGTCTGGATTCAAAACTAGGATGATAAAGCAGAAGCATGAAGACTAAATTAATACTTGCAGGAGATAATAAAGAAACAACTGAGCACCAAGAAGATCAATTCTCTTTTTAATTTGTTCCTCCCTTCAATCATATGTGATATTGCTTTACCCAATGTGTACAAATGGGTCTTCTTATCAGTAAAATAGTTCTTCAAATCAGCATCAGGGCGTTTTGCGTGCTTCTCCTCATACTTCCCAGTCTTGGGACTCTTGTGACGGAAGATGAAATGCAATTTGTAGTCTTCCCCACATTTATCTGGTCCAAACATGATTGTATAGGGAGTCTTGTCATGGAACTGATCCTTTAAAAAAGAAGAAAAGAAGTTTCAAACATACTACAAATCAACTTTTCAAGGAAAACTTATGATTTACATCTCAGACACTTTGATTCTACTTCAGCTAATCAAGGGTCTCCGTAAGCCAACACATTCGCAGTGTAAAACAAAGGACAATCTGATTCATTATAATGTCCTTTCTGTAACACCAGTGATACATTTACTGGTTCAATGCCCCCAAATTAATGTATAAGTCAGAGAAACAAAGGCCCCTTCTACACAGCTGTATAAAATCCACACTGAACTGGATTATATGGCAGTGTGGAGTCAAATAACCCAGTTCAAAGTGCTTATTGTGGATTATCTTTATATTCTAGGTTCTATATGGCTGTGTGGAAAGGCCCTAAGTCATGAAACTAAAAATCCATATAGATTTTCAATGACACCAGTATTATAATGCAAAAATGGAATCAGTTTTCAGCAAAAATTGTGTATTTAGACTTTTGAGAAAACAGAAATTATGAGATGCATGTCAGTTCTTTTTAAAAATCCAGCTCTCTAAATTGGGATTGGGGAAAAGTGCTATATTTGGTCACTAAAGTTACTGAAATAATTGTTGTGCCCTACTCTAATACTGTCTTAGAAAGATTTGTTCAGAGGTTTACCATTGCTGTCCCTTGAGGGTATAAGACTGACTTGCCCAATGTCACTCCGTGATTTTGCATGACCAAACTAGGATTCAAACCCCTGTCCCACAAAGTCCTACTCCAATACATAATAATAAAATAATAAAACTTTATTTATATACCACCCTATCTCCCCGAAGGGACTCAGAGACCTTTTCATCAAAGTTGACTTCCAAGTCACTTACTATTATAAATAAAACCTCAAATGCCTTTAAAATCTCAATTGGCCCAGAGAAGACCAAACATTTGTCACAAATGCTCACATCCCAGGGGTTCTTTGGGTGCATAAACACACATATATGCACAGAGAGAGAGCACATTTTTGTAAGAGGCCCTCCATAATCTCCATGGGGACAATCCAGTCCTCTTAACTCCTAACAGCTGTCCACCCTTGCTATTGACAGATTAGCAGTCTAGTTTGAATATTGTCATTTTGCAAACAGTGGAAACACATAAGATTTAAATCTCAGCAGGCAAAGAAGGCATGCAACTCACCAGGTGCTGTTCATGACCTTTGCTGATCAGCTTCACATATGCACCACCACACTCAATTCCATTTTGGAAATTGACCTCATACCTTATTTAATTTTCAGGGAAAGAGAACAAACTGTCAATTTACAAAAACGGTTTATCTCGTGACAATAACACATTTCATACAACAGTCATACTACAATTGCAGTTTTTATCAATTGAACAAAAATGCCAGTTTCTGACTACTAAAAATGCAGCAGACTAACAGAGGCTCACCCCCTGTAGCTCAATCTCTTTACACTCTGAGTGCACTTCTGCATGGGGCTCACTCCTCACTGTAGATCTACACATCCTTTACTGCTAAAAAAAAAAAAAAGCCATTACCACTTACTGTATAATCAAGGGCTTGGTATCAAAGATAAAGGGCTTGTTAAGTTTAGCGGCAATTGCATGGTGTTTAGCTCTAGAAGCCAGCACAAGTCCTTTATCCCCTGGAAGTTTAGTATCCATCATTTCTTGCACTTCCCATTTGCCTACAAGAGGGGAACAAACAATATATCAGGATTTTACTGAGTGCTTTTATAATATATCCTACAGACAAACACAGTACCAACACCCATGCCATTACTAGCTCTTATATTTCTATTGCCCACGTTATGATCTTGACTGTGGAAATTACCTAAGAGGTTTTGCTAGAAAGTCCACATTCACTTTTTACCTACTGTTTTCTACAATAATAAACAGATCTAGCTTGTGGGTAAAGGGAATTGATAAAGACCACTGCACAAAGTAGGAACACCCCTCTTCAGTGGAAGTTCGAGATATGGAATATTTTCATCAGAAAAAGAAAGAGCAAACTGTTGGGTTTTTTTTTTCACTTCCTGCAGTAACTGTTTGAGGAATACTCTGTGGAGTGGCACGGTGACCTGTAAAGGATAGGAAAGATCAGCCAAATTCCCCTTCCCTGAATTTTGAGTCAAAGTCTTCGCTAAAACAGTCCCTTTCTTGAATGGAAATAACATTTCAGTCTACAGCAGAAAACTCCGAATTCCACACAACAGCTCACAGAAGCCACTCTCATACCAAAGTAATGTTTTCTGGTCTTCATGCAGTGTTCCAAAAGACTTGTTATATTTTATCTTGCCTTTTCCCTAAAACTGTGATTCAAAGCAACTTACATTTTTTAAAAATATGCAATATAGTTAACAACTTGTGAGCCATTACTGCAAAAATGCATACAGCTTTTAAAATTTGCTCTCAACAGACAGGGCATTTTACTATGCCAGAACTATGTTTTATTGAAGAAGCCATGAAGGAATAAACCTAAGCTACAAGTTAAGTATGGGAGTTTTAAACAATGTCCCTAAATTTCAACTACCTACCTGTCTAAGACAACTATTGTCCCAGTAAATCTTTTGCACGTTGACACTGTGGGATGTTTTTGTTTGCATAATGCAATATTCTGGGACAATAAATACACAATGCTATTTGGTGGTTGAAACATAAGGGAAAAGCTTGGGTGATTATTTTGATAAGAAATTCGGCCCTCTGCGAGCACATAAAAGAAAGATAAAGCAGAGATACTGAGATCATGGGATGGAAGAACCTGGGATGAGACACTCATAACACAGTTCACCATAGAGCAGCCAGAAAATCATTCAGGGACTCAAAAGATGCAAACAGGGTTTGGACCCTTTGAACTGCTCTTTAGTGAAAGTATTCTTGACCACACAATACATTTAACAAATAGAGACCCATGCATTAAGCCACAGAGTGAGAAAAACTGTACCAAAATCAAAGAACAGAAGCTCCTTGACATCACTTAGTTGAAACATATATATTTGCCCGCTTCTCCTGTTTCAGGGCCTGCATAAAACTTTGAACAAACTGCAACTAAATGTACCTTTTTATCCATCACAATGAAAATTAAAAACAATGACTATAAAGCACCCATTATATTGTACAGAGATTAAATGCAGTTAAATAGTAGTATAACACAATATTAGCGGTCCTTTAAAAATAGCTCCCCAAAACCTATTGAAACAAAAAGCCTTTGCCAGTCAACAGAAGAACAAGCCTGGAAAGTACTTCCAAAATCGAGGAGCAGGCACTAAGGAAACCTTCTCTCATATCCCAAAAGGTATATATGTAAGGATGGTAGCACAAAGGGAATAGTCTCACCCAATGATCTCATAGTGTGGGCAGGACTAAGTGAGAGATTTGTCTCTTTCATGTCAAGTTATTGACAATAAAGAAATAACTAATATACTTCAGCAGGAATGCATGGAAGAACTGTCCACGCTTTAGTGACTGGGGCTGTATAAATAAACTGATGGGAAACATACATCTTGTTAAATGATAAAAACAATACTTAAAGCTATGTAAAAATGAAACAGAACTGATATTTATGCCCTTTGTATGTTTATATTTCAAGTTTACTAATAGTTACAAATACAATTGTAAGGCCAACACTTCTTTTCAAAGAACTCTTCAGAAGATAAATCCCTCATGCCATTACAGTACTCCGTGATGTTTTAAGTGTAGCACTTAAAACATCTGTTTGCCTCATGGCCTACTTGGTGAAAAAGTAAAACAGAGAACTGAACATGCATTGCCTTTCAACATAGTTTCATATGCTTCAAAGGTGCTTTCCTCCTAGTTTTGCTTATACAGTACAGAAAAGGCCAAGCAAGATACTATACTCACCATCATATTTGGCAATTTCATCATCTGTATCATCTTTCTTAGCTTTGGAAAGAACCCACCTAAATTTTTAAAAAACCAAGGTTTCAATGAAGATAATGCACAGCAAGAAGGGCTGCCAACCAGCCATAATTGACTGATATGACTTTCAATGGACTAAGGTCCCTTCTTCACTGCCCTATATCCTAGGATCTGATCCCAGATTATCTGTTTATCTCAGATTATATGGCAGTGGAGACTGATATAATCCAGTTCAAAGGAAATAATTGGGATCAGATCCTGGGATATAATGACAGTGTAGAAGAGGCCTAACTAAGTTCAAAGGAACACATATCAATCTACTGAGACACTTAAATACTTAGAATTTAAGCATTTCAAACTACTTGCAAACCAAGTTATTGACAATAACAAAATAACTAATATACTTGAGCAGGAATGCATGGGAGAACTATACACCTTTTAGTGCCTGGATTTAGACCAGTTTGGCTTCCTCCCTTATGACAGATAGTTTAGGGTTATGTTTTAGGCTGTTCACTAAAGCAGGGGTATCAAACTTCCACATTTGGAGCCATAAATTGCTCTTGACAGAAGTGCAGCTACACTGTAGAATGAATGCAGTTTGACAACATGTTAACTGCAATGGAATCATGAGAAGTGTAGTTTGGTAATGCTCCAGCTAGCTCTATCGGGCAGAATAGGCTAAAGGCTTTATAAAACTAGACTTCCTATGAGTTCATGCCATTGAACCTTGAATTAATGCAGTCTGACACCATGTTAACTGCCATGGAATCATGGGAGGTGTAGCTTGGTAAAGCTCCAGCTAGCTCTATTATTTATTATTTATTTATTTATTTATTTCTTGCATTTATTGACCGCCCCTCTCAGCCCGAGGGCGACTCGGGGCGGTGAACAGCAACAGAAAAGACAGTGTACAATAAATCACGACAGTACAAACCAGACAATACAACATAACATATACTTATACTAAAAATCCGCTTCGTCAAGTCCTGGGGTCATAGCCAAAATTCATAGTCCTAGTTCACTCCAGTGTCATTTCAAGATACACTCAGTTGAGGGCCTGCTCGAAGAGCCATGTTTTCAGGCCCCTACGAAAGGCCATCAAGGAGGGCGCCTGTCTAACTTCAACAGGGAGGGTGTTCCATAGCCGGGGGGCCACCACCGAGAAGGCCCGCTCTCTCGTCCCCGCCAGACGTGCCTGTGAGGCAGGCGGGACTGAGAGAAGAGCCTCCCCGGATGATCTCAAGGCCCTCGTGGGCTCGTAGGCCGAGATGCGGTCTGCAAGGTATTTTGGGCCGGAACCGTTTAGGGCTTTGTAGGATAACACCAGCACCTTAAATTGGGCCCGGTAGCAGATCGGCAGCCAGTGGAGCTGGGACAACAAGGGCGTTGTATGCTCCCTGCGTCCTGCTCCTGTTAACAACATGGCTGCCGCGCGCTGGACTAGCTGAAGCTTCCGGGCCGTCTTCAAGGGCAGCCCCACGTAGAGAGCGTTGCAGTAGTCGAGGCGGGATGTGACCAAAGCGTGTACCACCGTGGCCAAGTCAGACTTCCCAAGGTACGGGCGCAGCTGGCGCACGAGCCTAAGCTGTGCAAATGCTCCCCTGGTCACCGCTGAAACCTGAGGCTCCAGGCTCAGCGATGAGTCCAGGGTCACACCCAAGCTGCGAACCTGTGCCTTCAAGGGGAGTGCGACCCCGTCCAGCACAGGCTGTAACCCTATACCCTGTTCGGCCTTGCGACTGACCATTCTGACTATTAGGCAGAATAGGCTTTATAAAACTAGAACTCCTATGATTTCATGTCACTGAACCTTGATAGCTAAAAGGCTGTCACACTGCATTACTTTTACAGTGTAGATGCACCTTGTCAGACTACTATTCTACCCCAATGCTCTCCACATGTGGCACCTGCACCGTTGAATTAAAAATAAATAAATAAATAAATAAATAAATAAATAAATAAATAGCATCTTGGATCCTATGGGTTTGGGGGGGGGGGGGGTTCAAACCCAGACACATCTTCCAGTTACTTCATGTTTTGAAACAAAGCATCTTTGTTTCAAACAAAGTATATAACCTGCCATATATAATCAGGGATGTGAGCATCAAGCTGTACTTTTCCCATTCCTATTGTAAGTTAGGCTGCTGTCTTATGTTAGGTAGGGAGAGTGAATTGCCCTTAGATGGGGCCAACTTCAGTAATCTCTTAAACATTGAAGAGGGATTGTAGCTCACAGACTGGAGAGATGCAACTCCTATGCAACCATCCCTGTGGTTTCTGAAGTATGTTTTTTCTTGTTTTATTCCATCACCCGCAATTGCAGTATTTTGCAATGTGGTACCCTAGTAATTTAAGGTATATTTTGTTTTAGACTTTTTATTATCTTTTATGAGCTGCCTTGAAGCTCAAATATTATGTTTAAAAGATATAAATGTTTTAGGTATGCACACACAAGAGTTTTCCTATTGAAAATTAGCACTTACCCTTCTAAAGTTCCTTTATCAAAGTTCTCAGCAAAATAAACTTCTCCTGTTGGGACTGGGGCTGTATAAGTAACCTGATGAGAAACATATATCTCGTTAACTGATAAAAACAATACTTGAAACTGCTTGACAATGAAACAGAACTGATATTTATGTCCTTCGTATGTTTATACTTCACAATATTCTACTTCCAGTTTACTGTTAGAAATACAGTTGTAAGACCAATACTTCTTTTAAAAAGAACTCTTCAGAAGATAAATCCCTCATGCCATTACAGTGCCCCTGATGTTTTAAGTGTAGCACTTAAGTCAGCTATGAATTGCATTTTTTTGACTCAATGACTTACTGGGAGATAAAGTAAACAGAGTTGAATATACATTCCCTTTCAACATACCTCATATGCCTAAACTATGGTAACATAATCTATATCCCAAATTTCCAGCCAATACTAAATGGAAATTAAGCATAAACAGTTCCCATATACAGAAAGAGCTTAACAAAGTACTCTAAGTTGTAAATATGAAATGAAGTCATTCTGGACAGTGCAAGCAGGGATGCAAGTTACAATTTTCTACTTCTTATAAGAAAGCAGCTCCTACTTGACCAAAGCAACCAGTAAGATTGCAGGCTGGACCATCCTGATCTCAAATAACAGGCCAGTTAAAATGTCAGAGCTTGGAAATAACAAGTTAATTGACCTGTCAAGTTGTTTATCTGCTAGATTTTTCTATCAGTGTGACTTGTTTAATAAAATCACATCAGTGGTAAATGTATGCTGGTGGCAAACATATCCTTTAACAAGGAATTATTTTATAGCATGAGAATTTAATAGAAAGGATGGCTCTTATACCAGCCCTTTTAGGCCTGAAAGGCTAGTGTTTTACACCCAACTACCAGCCTGTTAATTAAATAATTGTTTTAAATTCTCCTCTGCTATTTTTTAATTCTGGTTTCCACTGTATAATTAGCGGTTGCACAAATGGTTGTGTGTACACCAGTGCTACTTTGCAAACTACTGCCTGCTAGTCCAGAGCAAACTTCTACAATCTTTGTGCCATTATCTGTAAGTCCCATGGTCTCTTCCAATCTTAAAAGGAAAATAATGAGTCAATAGACAATAATTATATTAATTTAATAATTTCAGTTATTAGCATTGGTGTAATGCATTATTTCCCAAGTTCTAACACCTCTAATACTGTCAAATTAATTTTCTAGCATAATGTACCTAGCTCTGAAAACCAGGATCAATTATAGTTCAAAAATGACCCAATCTTTCTAACAGAGAAACTTTTAAGACAGTTATTTAATTAGATTAACTGCTGAAAAATTACATGTGAATTGTGTTCAAACCAACCTTTGGGAGTGGGGGTGGAGTGCTGACTTCATGTTTCAGCTCCTCTACCTCTTCAACACCATCTTCAAGATCATCATCAATATCTATTACATCGTCTTCATTATCATCATGATCATCTCCTTCATGAGCAAGGACAAAAATGTTTCCAACTAGCAGCAATGCTGCACACAGCAACCACTTTTGTTTCATGGTCTAAGGATAAGAATTAGAGAGAAAAGACAAAACAATGGGAAGCCTGTCAAATGAAAACAAGCAAGATAATTTAACATATACATACATTTCCAGACTCCAACATTATTTGCATTTTTTAACTGTTAGTTTACAGTTGCAAGTATAATTATAAGTACAACAAATGCAGGATGACTTAAACACTCTCAGCCAGATATACCTTTTGAAGCATAATTGATATTACAGCTACCCTGCTACATTAATTTCAAAAGAAATGTATTTGACCTTAAACGTGATAATTGTAAATAATTTGCAAAAGGTAATACACTCAGCATGAACGTGTGTGAACTATCAGCAAGAAAGTAACATTAATGATGGGGCTAGCTTCAGCAGCAAATGCCGATCTAGACCCGGCCACCCACAGAGCCGGCCAGCTCTAATCACACAACGTTGTGCCAGCTCCATGAGTGGAGGGCGGAATCAGCATGCCACCACTGGTGCCCTGGCAACACGGGAGGCTTCCCGTTTTGCCATCTCTTCAATGGGGGAAGCCACAACGCTCCACGCTTCCCCCTGTGTGAAGAGCTGCCAGAGGAGCCAAGAGAAGTGGGGCGTGTGGTGGCAGCAACAGCTTCCCGGTGCCCAGTGGTGAACTGGACAGCCGCTGGGGAAGGTATGAGATGGTAAAATGTGTACTGGTGATTTTGTTACATTTATTTTGTCAATGTTTTATTGAAAGCGTTTTATACTACATGAAGCATCAAGTTTCAGTTATACTCCTGGCGAATTTAGTACAATCTACTTCCAAGTAATTACTCAAATAATGAGGATGCTATAAGTATAATGATCATCAATACTTGATAAAGAAACTGATGCTAGAAATTCTCTTTCATTGTTTGGTTCATGTATGTGCGCTTGCCCATTCTGACAAGTATGAAGTAGTAAGAAATATCTAACTTTTCACAATTTCAGCAATCCTTTCACATGCACAAAGTGGCTACCTATCTGTATTAATGATGCTAAGACAAGTTGGCAGATTTATGACATCCTAAATGGGTTGAGAAGGACAGGATATAAATATCTGAAATAAACAAATAAAATATGATTGTCTACCACAGGTACCTGTGAGTGAAAAGATAGGCAGACAAAACTTATGCAGTTCTGTCACAGTTCTCCTTTTCTTTCCAGAAAAAAGAACATTCACAACACCCTTTAGAAAAAAGGCACATTTCCACAATGCAGTCCTCATGAAACTTCTGCATTATGAAGGCTGCAAGCTCAGCTTTCCTTCTTGTTTCCAAGTTTAGATCACATGATTCTTATTCTGGAAGATACAGAACTGCTCCTGTCAGAGGGGCATCACAAAATATCAGTATAACACAAATAGCTCCTTCATTGTTCTCTAGTTGGCAATGTAAAGTGGGAAAAGGAGGGTATTTATTTATTTATGATATTTATATGCTGCCGTTCTCACCCCAAAGGGTAATATATTATATTATGGTAATATATTATATATTACATTATTACCATAGCACAATATTAGTATTATAACTGGTATAAGATGCAGGCAACTAACAGGAAAAAGTGGGGGATTCCCCATTTTGAATCTTACTTTTTGTTTACTTCATTACATGTAGCCAGAAGAACCATACAAATGGTGTATGGTTCTTCTGGCTGTCTACAACACGTCTGCTAAGTAAGAGAATAATTCACCTCTTTTATTAGTTAATATAAATGCTAAATTCACTACACAAAACATTTAACTCCCTGTAGTATCTACAATTATAGAAAACTATTCTTTAAATGAAAGATTTCTTTAGGTTGTAAGAAAGCCAGAATAAAAGTACTACATATTCATGAAGGTTACAGAGAAGGAAAAGGTAGTTCAAGTAATTTTTAATTCCCAAGACAAAGTGAGTATGATGAAACAGAAATTGCATGGTTGGAGGAATACACATGATCATCTCTTTATTATATGAACTCTGAAGAGAGAACAATAAGGTTTCCTTTACATCTAGACATTGACCCCATACATCCTCATCAAAGATTACAATCTAGAATCTAAATCCTCAAATATAACCATGTTAAAACTAATTACACCAAACTCTGAAAATATGAAAGATTAAAAACAGTTGCAAAGTGAAACCTAGCTTTATTATTAAATGGATGCTCACTTCCCCTTGATTTCTTTGAAAGGAAGGTTTTTAACATATAGGCAGTCCTCGAGTTAAAACATCTGACTTTCAAACAAATCGTAATTAAGAACTATGAGACAACAGCAAGTGGGAGAAATCTAGCTGCTTTCAGTAGTCATCAGGAGAGAGAAGGATATATACCATCATCATCATCATCTACCCCCAGGAAGGAAAATTCACTCCTGAAAGAGTTATCATGGGGAAAAGGGATCTCCACTGAAGCTTTATCCCCAATTCTTGTTTCTACAACAAGCCATTTTCCCCCAAAATCCAATTATTACAATTACAGAAAGTGAGGTGAAATCTTAATAGGGGCACAGCAAAACAAGCATCACAAGGATGTTAACCCTTCCTTATGCTATCCAAAGCAAAATACAAGGTGTGGCAGAGGAAACAGGAAGTACATTGGAAGGGGAGGAGCAATGGTTGTCCCTCTCCACCAGTGCAGATATTGCAGTTTCAGTGGCCATGGTGCCATGGACTGTAGAACACTGTTTATTTGCAGTGGTGTAGTTTTTAAAAAAGTGAATCCATGGCGACCATACATCTATTCAGATAACATGTCAATGTTGAGTGACATGGAACGATACACGTTCACAACACTCTACTGCAATGGGTTCATGCGTTCCAGAACAAAGGAAGCGTGATGAAGAAGCCACTCATCCTTCCCCAAAGCATACAGACTACTGAAAATGTGGAAACAGTGAGGCGGACAGCTCTTGCTAGTCCATAATCTTCTATGCAGAGCCACGTAACAGCTTTGTGTATGTCAAGTTAGTTCCCAAAGTGCATACTTCACACAGAATTGCAGTTCCATGCAAACAAGATGTTGTTTATGCAGCAGTTGAAAGCCGCAGATTTTGCACAACGCAAAGCGTTCAATGCTGTAGTGATGTTGGGTAAAAAAACACATATTCATTTGAATGGTTCAGCAAGTAAATACACCTGTAGATACCGGATGGCAGATAACTCACAAGAGCTCCATCAATGGCCTCTCCACAACCTCAAGGTCACAGTATGGTGTGGTGTATCACAGGTCAAAATCATTGGTCACTACATTGCAATGTTAAATGACTTCGTCCATCCCACTATGATAAGACGTAGACTTCCTATGGGAATATGGTTTCAACAGGATGGTGCAACGGTGCACACGGCGGGACTATAGATGATCGTAGTAAAATTCATGTTCTGCCAACGCACAATCTCCTGATTTGGTGATACTGCATGGTGCACACGTACACTGGATTAATTGGTTTATGATGTCTTCTTAAAGGGGTATCTGAAAGCCAGGGTGTATGCAAAAAAAACCATGTATAGTACTTAAAAGATTACACTTGTCAAGAAATCGTGGCTGTGCTGGCACAAATGCTTGTGAGTGCAATGGATAACTTTGCACAGTGGCTCCAAATGTGTGACCAGATCGACGGACAACATCATATGAATATTATCTTCCACACACAACTGTTAAGTGTTCCTATGATTAACTACATAGACATACCTTCCTTTCTGTGTATGTATATATGATGTATCTTGCAAATAAATCAAGTTATGCATACTTCAAAACCATGTGATTCCTCTGTCCCACCCTGTATATATAAATATTTGGCTGGAGTTACATTTTAAAAATGTATGTTTTCCAACCTACAAACAAATTCAACTTAAGAACAAACCTACCAAACTTATTGTGTTTGTGACTTGGGGACTGCCAGTACTTCTTCCAACTGTGCTAGAATAAACAATTGTGTAGTTAACACACACACATAACTTTTCACAATAGGCATTTAAGATTCTATGTAATTTGTATCATGAATGTAGAAGGTGAGGAATTGAAAAAGTAGCTTGGTTAAAATCTCTCAGCAGGTTTCTGAAAAGGAGCTATCTGAACCAATGATTTCTGTGTTTTATGACTACATTTAAGGCAATACATACACTCAGGACCTAGGAAGTGTTACTCCTCAGTAGGCATGTTGTTGTCAAACAGGAACTCTACTCTCTCCGTATCCTGCCCTCTCTCTTGAAATCAACTAGAATCTAAATGTTGAACTTGAGACACCTTAAGCTGGTTTCATTTACACTGCTATATCCCTTGTTTGTTTGATACTGCACTGTAAAGCCTTTCAATTAGAATGTGTCAATTAAAGTCTACTTAATTATATTACAGCTAGATATATCATTCTGAGAAAGGGCATAATTTTTGAAACCTCTCTTACTATGGGATAGCATGCGATTTTAATCATTTCTCTCAGTCTGGTATTGCCCATCACAACATTCCCCAATTCTCAGTCCTGTATAGGACATCCTATGCATCTCTAAGGTAATGCTAATCTGGAAATGTTCTTATCAAACTATGATAGCGATACTGCATCCTATGATATAAAAACTTCAACTTCAAGCCTGAACATATTTGCTTGAGAGTGACCTGTACTGAATGCAATTGCACTCATACCTGAATAAGTCTGCATTTAACAAAAAATCATTTTCAGTTCTGTAGAACACCACATGCCAAATGAAAGTATCTAATCATGCCAATATAGATATTTTGCCATTTACAATTAATTAAAACAAGACATCTTGTAGCATCTTAAAAATAATCGTGGTGTTTCATTATAATGTACCTCCACAGAACGAGATATTATAGATATTTCCTGTCAGAAATAATAATAAATCATAATGAATTTTCCCATAAATTACATGCTGTTAGAAATTCAGAAGTCTTGAAAGCTGCTGACTGAGGTTTGAAATACTTCCCTCAATGCCATGTAAAACTGAACCTCTGACAGAAATATTACTAAGTTATTAAAATCTTTTCAAATTCTTCAGTTTCTTAGTTCATCTTTCTTGCACAGCAACAATTGTCAGATCTGAACAAACTGAAATGTTTAAAATAAAGGGGGCAGCAGATTTTCAGCTATTTACAAGTTTCAAATGAATGTTTTCAGCTAGCTACTCTTTTAAAGTAAATTGGTAGATATTTCCTCATTCTTGTGCATATTACCTAGTTGACATTTCTGACACTATCCCTATCCTCCCTGTCTACTTTACCTTTGTCCTCTTATGCTTTCACAGGTTGCACTGCTGTTTTATCACTTCCTCCTTCATCTCACACAGCACCTGCTTTTCCCCCCACCCCCAAGTTTTTCAGATCACACCATTTTTGCTAGTAATCTGGATCACAGTCTGGTCACAAATCATATTTCATGCTTTTTTTAAGTACAGTATGACTCCATATCCACAGGCAGCTTATGTTCCCACATGGCTACATAAAACTGATGGTAAAGGCAAACTTTGTTTAAATAAATGGCTTCTTGACCAATAACCCCATAGACTCACACTGGAAGACCTAGAAAATGCCTAGAGAGGATATATTTTGTTGGATGTGAATACATTAAAGTGTGGATGCCAGTCCCTTAGATATAAGTTTTGTACGGTATTTTATGTTGCTTGTTTCATTGTGTGTTTTACATTATACTGTCCCTTGAATATTCAAGAGGGTACTTTTTAATAGCTTGACACTTCCCCAAATCAGTTGAGTGCTGAAACAATTGCAGGAGTTACAGGTCTGAAACTATTCACGGTACAAGTTAACTGTACACATGTATAAGTTGACTGTAAAAATATCTTCTTTGTACTAAAATTACCTGCATTACACACATAATCTATTGTGCTACCCTGTTCCTGAAACAGTGATTAAGCATTCCCTTTCTACAAAGTCAGTCATATTTTTAGATTCCACAAAGTCTGGGAGGCTTTTAATATATGAAGTCATGCTTCCTATGCTATGACCAGACATTTCTAGGGCTGGGGCTATACCAGGCATGGGCAAACTTTGGCCCTTCAGGTCTTTTGGACTTCAACTCCCACAATTCCTAACAGCTTTGGGACCTTTCCTTTTCCCCCTCAGTCGCTTAAGTCCAACCCCCTATCATGCAAGAAGAGTACAAAGTACCCCTGACAGATGGCCATTGTTGTAAGCTTTACAAGTCCCCGGTGGCACAGCAGGTTAAAGCACTGACCTTGCCTACCAAAAAGTTGATGGCTCGAATCTAGGGAGCGGGGTGAGCTCCCACTGTTAGCCCAAGCTTCTCCCAACCTAGCAATTCAAAAGCATGTAAATGTGAGGTCAATTGGTATTGCTTCTACGGGAAGGTAATGGTGCCCCATGCAGTCATGACCTGGCAGGAGTCTACGGACAACGCTGTCTCTTTTTCTTAGAAATTGAGATGAGCACCATACCCCAGTACCAGACACAAATAGACTTCATGTCAAGGGAAAACTTTTATCTTCTACTAAGACTTCATGTCAAGGGAAAATAGACTTCATGTCAAGGGAAAACTTTTATCTTCTACTAAGCTTTACAAGGTCTTGAACCTTCTCTGCCAAAAAAAAGGCTGGCTGCTTCCCCAAACTATGTCACCCAGGATTCCCATGGCAGTGAATGGGGTGTCAAACTGCATTCATTCCACAGGGGAGACACAGCTTGAGTAACACATGCACACATCCCACAATACACAGAATGTCAGAGTTTGCAGTTTCAATGCTGTGGGATCCTGGGAGTTGTAATGTGGTGAGGCACCATCATTCTTGGGCAGAGGAGGTCTCGTAAAACCACAAGTCCCGCGATTCCATAGCCTTGAGCTGACAGAGTCCAAGGGGCGCCAGCGTCAAGCTATGGCATCTGCACCAATCCTGCAGTGTACTTATTTATTTGCGACATTTATATCCCACCCGTCTCACCCCAAAGAGGACTCAGAGTGGCTTACAAGTTATATGTACATTGTTGTTGTTCATTCGTTCAGTCGCTTCCGACTCTTCATGACCTCATGGACCATCCCACGCCAGAGCTCCCTGTTGGCCGTCACTTCCCCCAACTCCTTCAGAGTCAAGCCAGTCCCTTCAAGGATACCATCCATTCATCTTGCCCTTGGTCAGCCCCTCTTCCTTTTCTCTAAGCTTTCCTTTCTTCTCATGATGTGGCCAAAGTACTTCATCTTTGCCTCTACTATCCTTCCCTCCAACGAGCAGTCGGGTTTTATTTCCTGAAGTATGGACTGGTTGGATCTTCTCGCAGTCCAAGGCACTCTCAGAACTTTCCTTCAACACCACAGTTCAAAAGCATCTATCTTCCTTCGCTCAGCCTTCCCTATGATCCAACTCTCACATCCGTAGGTGACAATGGGGAATATCACTGCTTTGACTATGCGGATCTTTGTTGCCAGTGTGATGTCTCTACTCTTCAGTATTTTATCAAGATTGGACATTGCTCTCCTCCCAAGAAGTAAGCGTCTTCTGGTTTCCTGGCTGCAGTCTGCGTCTGCATAAAATTTTGCACCTAGAAATACAAAGTCTGTCACGGCCTCCACGTTTTCTCCCTCTGTTTGCCAGTTATCAATCAATCCGGTTGCCATAATCTTGATTTTTTAGATGTTTAACTGCAATCCAGGTTTTGTGCTTTCTTCTTTCACCTTGATTAGAAGACTCCTCGGCTCCTCCTCGCTTTCAACCATCAAAGTGGTATCATCTGCATATCTAAGGTTGTTAATGTTTCTTCCAGCAATTTTTACCCCAGCCTTGCATTCATCAAGCCCCGCACATAGCATGATGTGTTCTGCATACAAGTTGAATAGGCTGGGTGCGAGTCTACAATATATTATATTATTAGCATATTACAATATTAGTATGATATATTACTATATTGTACTATATCACTATACTGTATTATTATTAATATTACATGTAACATAATTATTATATCATTACTAGTATTAATAGTATAATTAGTATTGTCATATTATTGTTATCAATATTATATATATACAATATATTATGGAGCCCCCGGTGGCGTAGTGGGTTAAACCCCTGTGCCGGCAGGACTGAAGACTGACAGGTTGCAGGTTCGAATCCGGGGAGAGGCGGATGAGCTCCCTCTATCAGCTCCAGCTCCTCATGCGGGGACATGAGAGAAGCCTCCCACCAGGATGATAAAACATCAAATCATCTGGGCATCCCCTGGGCAACGTCCTTGCAGACGGCCAATTCTCTCACACCAGAAGCGACTTGCAGTTTCTCAGGTCGCTCCTGACACGACAAAAAAAAATTATGAGCACAGCACAATATATTATATATTACTATAGTTGCTGGGGGGAAGGGCTCTGATGACCCAGGAGACATGTTGGAACTGTCTTCCTGGCTCCCCTTCTTCACTCTGGACCCAGAGCAGCAATTGGTGCTGGGGGGATGGGCTCCGATGACCCAGGAGACATGTTGGAACTGTCTTCCCTGCTCCCCTTCTTCACTCTGGACCCAGGGTTCCCAACTGATGACCCAAGAGACACGTTGGAACTGTCTTCCCTGCTCCCCTTGTTCAATCTGGACCCAGAGCAGCAATTGGTGCTGGAGAGGGGCTGCCAAACTGATGACCCAAGAGACATGGTGGAACTGTCTTCCTGGTTCCCTTTCTTCACTCTGAACCCAGAGCAGCAATTGGTGCTGGAGAGAGGAGCTCCCAACTGATGGCCCAGGAGACACGGTGGAAGTGTCTTCCTGGCTCTCCTCCCCAGTGCAGATACACAGGAGGCCCCCTCCCCGCTAAGAGCAGCCCCTCCACAAAATGAAACACTCGCCCACCCCACCCCCCCCCCCCCGTAAAAAGGCGAGGGGAGGTCCCTCAAGGTCCCACCCGAGAGGCGAAGAGATAAGCCACGCACAGGCCCGCAACGACACCTTCCCCCAAGAGGCCCGCTCTAGAAGGCCCTAGAAGTTTGGCCTGCGGAGGGACCCGGCGCTTCTCCCCCTCCCCCTTCTTTCTCTCTCCCTCATTCCAAACCACTCAGTACCCACAGCCCCCAACGGACACACCCTCCGTGGGACACTTCGCCTCCCGCTCTTGCCGCCTCCAGTGCGTGCCCCAGAGTTCCCTGCGCGAGAGGAAGAGGGCCGCTCTCCTTCTCTCCCTCCCCCCCCCCCCCTCATCCCCGCCGCAACATTCTATCCCAGGCAGAAACGAAGGGAGGGCCTCCTCGCGGGAGCTACTCTCTCACTCACCTCGCTCCACGCGCACAGCTCGCCCGCCGAGGCTCCTCCGAGAAACCCCCTCGCGCCTCCTGCCGTCACGTGCCTCCGCCCGCGCGGGTTGGTCCGTTGCCTGCCTGCCTGCCTCACACTCTCTCCTCTCTCTCTCGCTCTCTCTCTCAGCCGCTAGCTCCGCCTCCCACGCCCCGAGACTTCCTACTCTCATTGATTCAGGCAAAGGGAGTCTTCCCGCCCCTCCGCTCTGATTGGTTAGGCCACGCCATCACTCTCCGCCGCTCTCGCCTTAAGCCCCGTCCCTACGGCGCTGCCCTTCGTGGAGCGCTGCCATTGGCTGAGCGGCTCCGACGGAAGCGCCCGTGGGTTGGCGGGCGAGCCGGAGTAGGCGGAGCTTGAAGGACGAGGGAGCCTCTCCGTTCTTAAAGTGACAGGAGAGCGTACCTCCTGTGGGCCATAGTAAGAAGGAGTGGGCTGGCAGGGGCCTTGTGGGTGTCTGCTGCAGAGGGCCCTTCCAGACAGGCCCTATGTCCCAGGGCCTGATCCCAGGTTCAGATTATCTGGCAGTAGCAATTCTTATAATCCCGTTTAAAGCAAAACACCTGGGAATCAGATCCTGGAATATAGGGCCTTTCTGGAAGGGACCTGAGACATTCAGAGCAGAAAATTGTAATGAAGAGAGGGACAGGGCCTTTTCTGTGGTGGCCCCCCGACTCTGGAACTCTCTCCCCAAGGACATCAGACAAGCCCCAACGTTGGCAGTCTTTAGGAATAGCTTAGAAGATGTGGTTGTTCCAGTGTGCATTCCCAGAATAGGAAACTCCAAGCATCATATCCCAAATGCACTTTATTAGAGATTTAAGATTGTCTGCATACCGCACCTATCTCCAAAAATCTATCCATTTCACCTGGTCATGTCCAGCATTTTTAAAATTTTTAATCATTACATTTGGCCCGGCCTTAGTTTTTAAATGTGTCATGGTGTTATTATCTAATGTTTATTGCTATTGTTTTAATGTTTATTGCTTTGTTTATTGTTGTATTTGTTATGCTGTTTTACTGATGTATTGGGCCTCGGCCTCTTGTAAGCTGCACCGAGTCCTTCGGGAGATGTTAGCGGGGTATAAATAAAGGTTTATTATTATTATTATTATTATTATTATTATTATCTCTTGAAATTGACTCCTAAGCAGAGAACAATACTAAATAGTACACAACTGAACACCTAAAATATATGATCATCGCAATAAGAATAAAAATATTTGTTAACTGCCTCAAGGCTCACAGCATAAAACACATATATCAGAACACACCACTGTATCATACCCCAAAACATGGTAGTGAAATGGCACGGAAATAGGTTGTGAGGAAAGGAGAGATAATTACCAAGAGACATCCTTTCTGGAGATCAGAAAAGAACAACTTTATTTCCAGCTGGCGACTCTGGTGGACTCATGTCCCAAAAGCAAAACCCAGAGCCCCCATCAAGGTGCGGACTGGCCTTTTATAGTCTCCAATCGGAATGAAACAAAGAACATACGTCTTCATACAATCATCATCATCCCTACGTCATCCTGGCATCATAAGAATATCAGGTTCCCCCTCCAACATGCAAAAAGCATGTCTCTGTGTCTTGCTGAAACCAGAGCAAGCATGGAGTATCCCTCCTCCCTCTTGCTTACGAGTCATCCATCAAAGGGGCCCTCTGACCTGTCAGAGGTGCTTCTTCGTCCTAGCACGGGCTTCTCCAACGGGCTTATCTCTCTTCTGGAATGCATGCCCCCCCTTCCTCTTCAGCCCCTTTTGGAGACAAGCCGCTTGCTTGCCTGTCAGCTACACAGAGGGAACTAGATTTTCCTATACATTTAAAGTACATATGATTTTTATGCATAAATCAATCAATAAATATCTATATTTTCCCAATATCTCCTCATCAATTCCCCCCTTAAGTAGGTCCTTTTAGACTTCTCTTTTTGTTTTGTTTTTGTTTTTTGTTTTTAGATTTCCAGTCTAGATAAGACTAAAAGGCACCTACTTAACTTCTATTAGAGAATAATTTCTTTCCTTTATTCAAAAGCATTTGCCTGGGGGTGTTTTCAGAACCTGTGTTAGTCTATGTTGCAACCATTGAAAAGACTAGGAGGATTTAAGACTCAATGGTCTGACTTTTGGTCTTATAAGACTAGAGTAGCCAAACTATAACTTCCTTTGATTAATCAAAGGCAGACAGAAAAGCAAATTTTACAATGGACTCATAATGCTCATATATCCCAAGTTAGCATTTCTCCCATATTGATAAAACATACATTTTGGCATGCTTATTGAACCAGTTACCAATTCACAAAATTGACACATAAATAAACACATATATCACCCACAAAGTTCTCATTCTTCTGGAATCTGGCCGTACGTTGAGTAACCGTTCCTGTGGGTTACAGTAAGGCCTAGCTCCTGTCTTCTTTCCTCTCCAGTTGTGGGTCTGACAGTGCGTAGAGCTTAGTCGCTTCCAGGTATGGACTTAAGCCGCAGTGTCTAGCCCGTATCTTCTCATCCAACAGCAGGTGCAGATCTGACAGTACGTTGAACAAGACAGCTTCCTAGGCTTTTGTGTCTTGTAGTAATGTCTAGTCTGAATCTTCTTTCTGCCACCTTTTCCCATTTGGTTAGAACAACCACAATCCTGTGTTAATTTAAGCTTTAGTGGGTGTTTTGGGATCTAGAATAGCTTGCTAACTGGGAGCAAGGTTTGATTTCTGCTACCTTAACTGCACTAGGTGATGTAAAAATCACCACATAAAGACCTTTTCATTTGAGTTGCAAAGTTCCTCATTACCAATCTTTAACTCACACCTCATCCCCTTGCTTAAACAAACAAATAGGGGTCAGGTGTGTGTGTGTCCTGAACTCATTAAGCATTTGCCATAACTCTTACAGCATTTTCCCAAAGCAACCATTCCTGTCTCTTTGCCTGGGCCCTTCTCATGCTATTCCCCTTTATGACCTTGGGAATGAAGGAGGGACCTCTCAAAAAGCATTGCAAAAAGAGACAGTTCAATGGTTCAGGTGGGAATGCATCTAATATGTACCACTGTTACAACCATGGCTTCAAAGAGTACATTTACACAATGCTGGATACCTGGGGGATGGCATTGCCCCTGACACTGAGTGTTTTTGGCACAGGTATGACACCTCCTAGCTGAAGCTACTATTGTCAAGAAAGTGAAGACAATCTATGTTTAACTGTCTTTCTAAGAGATTAGCTAGTGCCATTTTCCTGAAATGACTCATGAGTTCCTTTTACTACTTTTCATGCCATGGTTCTGGGGACAATTATTCTTTATCTGGAAAAGCTCACCAACCAATAGAGTTAGCTAAGTCTATTGCACCATTGTCCTGGGCCCATTGCTGTTCTTCTTTATTATAGGTAGGCTGCACACTGGGATTGGGCAAAGGAAGTAGGATAGCCACCTGGAGAGACATGGCATCTGCTTCTTGGCATCTGCATCTGTCCTCTGGTTTCTTTGGCTAAAGGATCCTACCTTGCCCTGTACATTACAACCACCTGTTTTGGGACCCATACAGCTTCTAAGAAATGCAATATCTTTTTCTGAATGTTTGACTGGTTGGCATGCTGCAGTTAAAAGTCCTCTTTCTTTGTAAAGTGCACTATGGACATGTAGTACTGAAAGTACATGCTTTGTATCAGTGTATTTAATAAGCTGAACTTGCAATGGAACATCAGTCAAGTCAGGACAACTGGTATATTGTGTCCATTTCTCAATACAGCTATGATGTTCCTTTTGCAGGAGGGTAGCAAGTTTAAAAGCAGTGCATTGCTGAACCTTTAAGNGTATTTAATAAGCTGAACTCCTTGCAATGGAACATCAGTCAAGTCAGGACAACTGGTATATATTATGTCCATTTTTCAATACAGCTATGATGTTCCTTTTGCAGGAGGGTAGCAAGTTTAAACCATTGCATTGCTGAACCTTTAATGTAAGGATTCACAACAGTGCCTGATGTTTTAGCATTCTTGAGGTGCTAAGCAATCGGTTCCTTTGAGTTCTAACAGTCTATGGTTTGAGTTAAATGCCTGTTGCTACATCTTCCTTCTCAGCAACATAACAAGTGAAGGATTTTGTTACTTAGGCAGGCATAAAGCAGACTGTCCTCAGCACAGACTTTTATTTGCTGAAAGGCAGCATTTTGCTTTTGTGTCCACTAGAAGGGCTCTCTTTCGCCCCCCTTTGTAACTTGACACAAGAATTTGCCAATTACTTCATAGAGATCCAAATTTTACAGAATCTTGTTGCACCTATGRACTTGCATTGGACTTGCTTCCTTGTATTGGGGACTAAGATCTGGCAGATGGCTTGCTTTCAGTCCTATGGCCATCTTTTATATGGAATCCTAAGTATTTGACTTCAGTTTTTGCACGGCTGGGTCTAGGAATTGGAGTGTTTCCTTCAGACTGACTGACAGGCTCCTGGAATCGGCTGTACTATTTCCGGAGATATGCATTTGGCTATTCCGGGGGGCTTGTTTTCTGCCCATACCTCAGGAGTTTCAAACTTTTCTCCTATTCATTTTTCTCTGAGCCTTTTTAAACTACTAGCAGCCTCCACCATGGGACAGGTGAGGTGCAAAAGGCTTGTTATTTTCTAAAGCCATCTTAGCAAATTCATTTTCTTCAAAGAATAATATTAGACTTTGTTTGCATGGCAAGTCACTTCCCAGCAATTGAACTGGGCAGTTAGGCATATATAGAAAACTGATGGTAACTTCTTTTGTTGCTAGCTGACGTTTTATTCCTCTTTCTTTCTTTCTTTCTTTCTTTCTTTCTTTCTTTCTTTTCTTTCTTTGGAAAGGAGGTAGGCATTGATCTTCAATGGCTCCCATGAGCTTTATGGCTTTCTGGGTTACGGTGCCACTGGTATCACTGATTTCTTCTGCTCTTATGTCTACCAAAAATGTTTTCTGGGATCCTACTATTTCCTTGAATAGGGATCCTAAGGTTAGAACTCTTGACTGACTTGAGTCTTCTGCCTTCTTCATTGGGGGCATTTGGCCAATCCAATGATTTTTTTTTCCTAAGCTGCTTC